GATTTTTTAAGATATATTTAAGAATATATTATATAAGTATTAATTTTAATTAATAATAATCTCGGTAATCTTTAATTTATTTTTTATTTATTTTTCTTCTCGTAAACACAAACAAAAAATTTCGTTTTAATTAAGACATTATATAGATTTCGTTTTTCTCTCCTCCCTCCCTTTTTTTTAATTTTTTCTTTTAGATATTATATAGTAGTTAAGTTAAGAAAGATAAAAAGAATTACCTCTCCAAGATAGATAATTTTTTTTTTTTTTGTATATTAAAATTAATAATAAAATTAATAAAATTAATAAAATTAATTAAAAAATTTAAAATAACAAAAGTTTTTTTAAAGGTTAAATTTAATAATTCCAAAAAAAAAAGCCATCCACAACTTGTGTTACAATAATAATGATAACACAAAAAATTTAATTAATTATAAAACTCACGATCGATACTACCTCGCGTGTAATTTAAAATCCACAAACATGTACACACGATTTTATTACAAAACATTTTTTACATGAATCATATTCAATGGATGGAGGGCATCAAAACTACCAAAAATGGGCATCAAAAATGAAATCCACCCACCCATTCGATCAGCCAGATTTTACGACGGATAATAACATCACTTCCAAATTTGGTTAGCATATATAAATTTATTTAGTAAATAAACTTTTTTCTTATGTGTTACTGTGTTACCTGTATATATATAATTTGAGATTTAACTTTGTACGTATGATTTCTCAAATTTGGCTAGAACCAGAAAATTCCACCGATATAATTTTTAAAAAACTTATCATCATCTATGGATTTCATTCGTCAAAATTTAAAAATTTTTTTTACATATCTAATGTTACACTAAATCACCCAATAATCACTATCTATAACTTCAATTCTATCACATTAAAAAGAGACAAATCCGCCCCACATGCGTCATACTTGTTCATCAAAACCTGCAAAATACATTTCCGTTACAAGAAAGAAAAGTGAACGTGCTAAATTAAAAGCTACTGATTGTATTGAATGTCGTGATGTTAGTATATCATCATCTTTCAATAATTATAAATATTTATTATTATTAATATTTTTTTTTTTAGGGTTGTTGTGTTCAATACGTCACAAAATTTTTAAACTAACTGTTTTAAAAATAGGACAAAAAAAATAAATAAATTATTTTTTCTGTATATTAAATATTTTAATATTCTAAATTTAGACACTTATGATGTAAACATTAAATAATAAGGATAAAAATAAATTTTTTTCTAAACAAATTAGGAAATCAGACGATCTACAATATATTTTCGTGCATCGAAGATCGTACACGAGTTTATTTTTATACTAATACTCAAAATTCTATGATGCATTGTTTTGATTTAATTTAAATAATTGTTTCCGTTTGTTTTTTAAAACTATTTATAAATATTAAATAATGTTTGTTTATTTTTGACTTTTAGGAGATTATTATCTGAAACGCAAGGCAACGACGATGCCGACGGACAATTTAAAAAACCATTGAACCGTGTTTGACTGATTGGCTGGTTGGTTGGTTGGTTGGTTGGCTGGTTGGCTTTGTTGGTTTGTTGGTTGGTTTGTTGGTTGGTTTGTTG